TAGATGTGTCATATACGTATTGTATTCTGTACGTACTGATGACTTTGGCTCTTTTGCTGATTTTATATACCTGTCTTCATTGCTATTCCCTGAGTTATGATAAATTAATTCATGTAAATAATAATAATAATAATAAAACAAAATAATGATGATATGATGATGACAACAGCCAACAGCTGCAAAAACAGTAATGGTAATGATAACAATTACAATAAGAGTGACGATGGTGCCATAACGATAATGTTGATTATAACAAGATTTGATGATAATAACATGAATCTGATAAACAAATGTATAATCGAGTAAATTAACCGATCCGGAAAAGAACAACTAGCAACCTTTCCTGAGGCAGTTACCAGAAACCTTCAAGCAGTACCACATCCACCCATTCTCATCCAAACCGTAAATATTTGCCTTCTTTAAGACCTTAAGTACGTTTCCTCTGTATCTACCTCCTTGCACGTGTCTGCTCATCAGTGTACGGTAAGATGTTGCATTTCGTGCAAGGACGTGCGACAGAAAAGGGACTTACTTGCGACGTGCAGAGATGGTACTGGTGTTATGTGAATGTTGCTCAAGGCTACTGAGCATTGTAAGCATGACGTGTCTTCTCTTGTATAAGGGGTGCACACGCATATATATATCTATATTTATCTATCGGTTTATCTATCAATTGACCCATCTATCTACCTCTATATCGAACTGTTTCTTAAAAAAAAAAAAAATACATTGTAACGATCGCTTTCTCGCTGCTGTTGTCATTATCTGCCAGATGTACAATAATTCATTGTGGCAATAGCGGTTGACTGATCATGAAATCTAATCGAGCTTAAACAAAACTTTAAGCGATTTTAGTTGGCCTTATTCTTTACAATCCTGTATAACGTGTGTGTGCGTGTATGTGTATGTGTGTGTGTTATGTGTGTGTGTGTGTGTGTGTGTGCGTGCGTGCGAACGTGCGTGCATATGCATATACACAATTCTACTGCAGGACATTGGCCTCTCACAAAACTTTATTGAGATTGATTGGCATTGCCACGCTTGCTGATTATGCCATTTCTAATCAAGAGTCAACGCGACCCCCCCCCCCACGGCGTCTGCGTGTAATCTCTCAAGCGATAAGTCGTTTTCTCGCCGTGAGATGGGGCTCGCGTCAGCAGTCGGAACTCAGGCATTCCGCGGCGGGAATTTGAATCCGGGACTACGAGGTTCGGAGTCCAGTATGTGCGTATGTGTGTGCACGTATGTGTGTATTTGTGTGAAATGCAAAGAAATATCCTTACATGTGTGTGTGTGGATATATCCCAACGTTTCTCTTTTTCCCTGTTATGTTTGCTTTTAAAGATTTAAAGTTCACACACACACACATATATGCATATATATATATACTATATTTATACAGATATTATATAGATATTTATATATAATATATAATATATTTATGTATATATATTATATATATATGCAACAGGAACAACGAAGGGAAGAGCAAGAAATCACACGAATATGCCGAAGGCCTTTTCACTATTGCTTCGTCAGGTCATATGCTACATGATAAGATAAGGATAAGCCCGATATGCGAAGCTGAACCTCGCCCGGACTATGGGGGAGCCCGGCCTGTGCCGAGTAATGTAGACTTACCCACCGTGGTGCCTAGCCACAGCAGTAACCTCCGGGCGACATTTGCAACTTTCGCGCCTGGGGGGCGCGAACCGCCGACCCCTCGGATGAGGAGCCGACATGTTACCACTGTACTAGCCTGGAGACTATGCTACAAGAGGTATATATTGGAGTACATATACAATTATTGGGTGGTCAGGTCACGTCGGTAATCAGGTGAGCGACGACCTTGGCTAGTTCGTGGCTCCCCATAGCGGTGTTGATGTTGTTAGTTGTATGAATGTACGCTGCTTCTACCATCTTCCTTTGTCGTGGGGCCAGGCCTTGCTTTATGATGGAGGCCAGGACCACTTCGGGAGGTGACCATCGGTGTCTGCGTGAACAACGAAGGCGCTTCTCGTGTCATGGCGTCGGAGAGCGCTGTGGTGTTGGCTGATTCGTTGTTCGTGCAGTCCTCGTAATGTCTCGCCTATATATACCTTATCACAGCCCCCACAAGGTATGCTGTACACCTGGCTGAGGGGTCTGTTATGGTTTGACCTCTTTTCTCTCACGATGTCTCCGATCTTCTTGCCTGAAGACGTACCTATCTTGAGAGTACGGCCCACCAGGGCCTGCAGGTACTCAGTCAATTCCGAGTGGGGGATGATTATCCTCCGAGTTCTACTCTGTGTGTCCTCACCTCTCGGCCTGCTCATGATCTTCTCGGCCTTGCGTCGGAGGTGGGTGAGCATGGAGCGGGGATAGTGGAGGTGTTGGAAAGTGTTGCAGACGTGTTTCATCTCATCCTCCAAGAACTCAGGGCTGCATATTCTGAGGGCTCGGAGGAAGAAACCAACGACCACGCCTTCTTTGGTTCTCTTACTATGGGCAGAAATATAGTGAATGAAATTATCTTTATTTGTGGGTTTTCTATATACTGAAAATACCGGTCCATTTGGTCTCCTGTGGATCATGGTGTCCAGGGAAGGGAGTTGTTCATCCCTCTCTTCTTCTGTGGTGAACTGGATGGAGGGGTGCACTGCATTGAGTCTATGGAGATCAGGCAGGTTCGTCCTGGTTGGTACTACAGCGAGGATGT